CCCCCCCCCCCCCCACATGCATGCCAACATACAAACACTTATTTACTGTGTATAGAGACATACAGATGAAGAATAACCTTTTGTGTACTTGAGTTATACAGCAAACATGCCCTTTACTTCCTTTTCAATTTGGCATAATGTATATTGACATTTTGCAGGGAATGGGATAAAAATGAAAAACAAAAACAATAATATGTTGCATTGAGATAAAATACATTGGAAAAGAGACTGTTTAGACAATATGTAACTTGAAAGTCCACTCCTGCTTAAGTACTGTTGGTTGGTCTCTGTGTCAGGCACAAACAACAAAGTATCTCTGTAGTTTCCTGAGTTCGGTAAGAGACAAGAATGCCACAACAGGCTTAAGGCACTGTTTGGTGCTAACTTAGTTAGCCTAAGTTCACCCAAGCCTGCTCAAAACTCTGACTGCCAGCCCCCCCCCACCCCTCCTAACCCAAATGAGTGACCACTGTTGCAGCAGTAGCATTCTCCAATCCAACCCTTTGCGATGTATAGCTATGGGATGGGGAGAGGGTGGTGGTCAGAGTTTTGAGTGGGTTTGGGCGAACTCAGGTGAACTGCATTTACACCAAGTCCATCCTCATATCTACTGTTTATAAATGATACAGAGTTTAGAATTTAAGCACAATTGCTGTTAATAAGGTTTAATGTGGATACATGTAAAGTTATGGTTTAGGGGGGTTAAAATTACCCAAGCAACATGCAGTCGAGAGAGAATATAATGTACATCATAGACTTAACACCAGTGTGACATGCCAAGCTGCAGCTTCTAAAATTAAGAAGAAACTAAGAAGGACCCTACTTGTATTAAATGAGACCTATATACAGTATATAATCGAGAGTGAGAAATTTCCCTGTGAAAAGAAGAGCAGATAAATTCAGAGGGGACATAAAAGGTCTAAGATATAAGAAAGGCCCAAATGAACTTAACATATTGAACCTTAAAAGCAGCAGCTAAGAAATAGGATCCTTAAGTTGAAAGAAAGAGGTTTAATCACTCGTGAATAAAATATAAAGGGTTACTTAAATTTCTAAAAATACATAGTAGAATGTTGATCCAGGAATTAATCCGATTGCCATTAGGGATCAGGAAGGATTTTTTTCCCTGTTGAAGTAAATTGGACCATGCTTTATAAAGTTTCTTTTTTTTTTTTGCCCTTTGCTGGTTAATTTAGGGCTTCTGAGATTGCTAGATTTTTTTTTATTGTGAGGTTGAATGTAATGGTCTTTCTTTTAAAACTAATTTTGTATTTAGCAATTTAAGAAAATAATTTTACTGCTTATAAATACAAAATCCTATGTTCAGAGCTGCAAATAGATATTTGATTGATTGCTGTGAGCAGCATTACTAATTTATGCTAGTATTTGAGATTAAGTAAGTTAGGAGCAAAAAAGGTTTGGTAATAAAATTGTACTTGTTTGGCTACATATCTATACATTCAAACTACAAGATGGACAACTGGAAATAAAAAAAGAGGAATCTGGGTCAAAAAAAGGGCTTCCCTCTTTAAAAGAGGAGCTGGGAGTGTCAGTAGGTGTCAGAACGGGAGACAATCCTAATGCCTGCCCTAGAAGAGTAAACTGACACAAATGGCTTATGCACATGCAATATATGTCCAAATATGTGTGGACATCTGACCCTCACACTTACAGTATATGAGCTTGTTGGACATCCCATTCCAAAACCATGGCCATTAATATGGAATTGACCCTCCCTTTCCAGTTGTAACAGCCTCAACACTTCAAGGAAGGCTTTCCATAAGATTTTGGAGTGAGTATATGATCGTTTGTGCCCATTCTGCCAAAACAGCACTTGTGAGAACAGGTACTGATGTTGAATGAGAAGACCTGGTTTACAATCACCATCCAATAGGGTTGACATCAAGGCTCTATGTAGGCCACTTCAGTTTCTCCACAAATAACATATGAAACCATGTCTTTATGGAGCTGGCTTTACTCACAGAAGCACAGTAAGGCTGGAACTGAAAAGGGCCTTCCCCAACTGTTGTCACAATGCTGGTAGGGCATAATTGTGTAAAATGCCTTGGTGTGTTGCAGCATTAACAGCAAGCTTCACTGGAAACATCTGAATTCAATCAATTGGAGTGATGGCTACATATTTTTGGCTGCATAGCTTTGGCTGCATAGACACATCTAATGATCAAGTCCATATGTGTTTCAGAATTGATACTGATTATGGGCCACCCTTCACCCCGATAGCTGATATCAGGTACCGATATTCTGTTTACATCCAGCTGCGGAATCTTGCGCTGGCAGCTGAATGTAAGCAGCAGGCAGTCTGCTGATATCAGTTGACCCGTACTGATGGCAGTGAAGTAGAGCCAACAGCCGGCAGCTGAATGTAAACAGCAGGCAGTGGACAGTGCTATAGCCAGTCTGCTACTGGCTATTGCAATTTGAAATAGCCAGAAGCAGGCTGGCTATTGCACTGCACACTGCCTGCTGCTAATCAGCAGGAGAGCAGACCTGAGAGAGAAAGTTCTCTCTCAGCGGGCGGTCGTAGGGGGGCAGAGGCATCAATGAATCTTATGCTGTTTATTTTTTATTCTCACCGGCCTCTATCTAGTCAAATAGAGCCTGCAGCCAATGAGCCAATGTACGTACATAGATTTTCCAACCGACTCCTTCGATCAGCTAAATGAGGAATGACGGCTGAAAGGGTGCTAGCAGCGGCACCCACTTTTCGAAATTTCGGACGGTTCCTCGAGAACTAGACAAAATTTGCACAGTGTGTGGCCACGTTTTTATCGGTAATATTGGTAAATTTAACCAATATCGATAATTAGAAAACTAGTGAATATCAGTCGATCCCTAGTATGGGGGCATTTGGGAGAACAAGGTCCATCAGCTAGTAATTGATAGTCCTGCGTAGGTTACAATGCCAACAAATTGTAGGTAACACAGAAATTTTCATTCACTGTGGCTGGATGGAGGATGGAGGTGTGGAAGAGCTAAACTAAACTGAACCTGTTGCTTTGTTCTGTTTGGGCAAAGCAGAAGTTCAGTTTAAAGTAACATGGCATCAATTAGACTGTACAGCAAGAACTTTCTCATGAAAAAAATTATTTGATATTATATCAACCAGTTTTCTAAAAACACATCTCTAAAAATAACTAGGGAGTGAACGTTATATTGCTTGGAGACAGGGATTGTCTTCACTTAATTTTAATTAGGAGGCTGTGAAATTGATTCAGACTTAAACACCTTGGGCTCTGCTTTCAGCGATACAAAGCTTAAATGCGCTGGGCATAGTTTAACTATTGTCAACATATAATAAAATTTTAGTGCATTTACATTTTCTTTTTTTCAGCTTTTTTACTTACTTTATTATCTGCTTATGATACTATGTGTGGAATGCAAGACAAATCATCTTCAACTCTAACTCTACTCTAATTAAGTTGCACATTTTGGGTGGAATGACACAGGCTTCCATTCCCTGCCAGGTCTACACTGCTAAGAAGGGATATCTGCCCCACTCTATTTAGAAATCCCAAAGCTGAACAAAAGAAAGGGATTGGAAAAATCATCACTTTAATACTATCGGATATTTTATTGAAGATCTAGCTACATCCGGCACATTTTGGGAATGCATGTCACCTTCTTCAGGGCTGATTGATGTATGTGTAACAGATGAAGATAACACTTGTAACAAAACATCATTTTGGCAGCAATCCAGTAGGGACCAATGTAATGGCTGATTAGCTTTTCTGAAGTGACCACTCTGCTGAGGAACACAATACTTGTAAGTGCTTGCTTAATGATCTACAAAGATGGCTGTGACTACCGTTTGGATACATTCCCACCCCCTGCACAGTAGTGACAAGCTGAGCTAAGCTTTTCTTCTGAGCTACTGCTTTCACTGGCAAAAGTAAACCAGCCACATAATACTATGGAGAGCCATAGAGGGTGGAAGGCACAGAAGTACTATTTCCTCTGACGGACTTTAAATAGCAGTTTTTGGAAAACAAGCTGAAAAACATGTGGCATCCCTGAAAAAAACAGAATGCTTAATTGGCCACAGCCATGCCAAGGAGGGCTAAAACTTCAAAGAGCTAGGGAACCATCGTGGCGGTGGGGAAAGGGGGTGTCCCTGTTAGAGTCCTTGTTGACTATGCCTATCAACTCTCTGTTGCGAAATCTGTACAAAGTCCCCTCAATATTTTGTACAAAAACCTTAACTGTCCCATTTAACCTATGCCTAGATAATATTTGTCAGATAATATCCAACAACAAAGGTAAATTTTCTTCTTCTTCTTTAGTAAACCAAAATGGCCAACTAGTGACTTACACAGAGCAGATGACAGAAAATAAAAAAAATTATTGTAAAAGGAAGAGGAAAGCTGCTTTGTTTTATTCAGAATATACTGTATATCACAACATGCAATGGATAATGTCCAGTATTTGAGTTGCCATTATAACGGGGCTTTGCATGTTCTCCTCATATCCCCACAGACATCTGCACCCTCTGCAGTTATGTTCTAGTGCACACACCAAGGAAAATGCATATTCTTTTAGTTACATCTTATACTCATGACAGACAGACGTGATCTCTGGATACTTTTCCAATGCATAGTTACCAGGTAAACTTATTTTTAGAAATTGTTAGAAGCCGTCCTGAATCCCCATGATGAAAAATTGTGCCAATCTTACCTCTACAAGTGAGTGCCAGTGGGCGATGGGCTTCCTGGGATACGATAGCATTTCGCTCCAGTGTTCCCGGCCTAGGCTCTCTGCATCGTTGCCAACTTGACATACCCCGATGACCTCATTGTGACCTACACTGTGAAAATGTTACATAATGTTTTTTCCGTATGCAGTACATTGAAGCATTTGTTAAAAAAACATTAAAATACGGATTTTAATTTTACAATTTATTTACTATTCATGCACATGCAGGGCCGGCCTTAGGCCTTTAGGCGCCCTGTGCGAGAAAGCTTTACAGCGCCCCTCAGTGGCCACACCCTTTAGTGGCCACGCCCCCGTAACCACACCCATTTCCCCCAATATATGCACCATTTAAAGACTCCTATTTTGTTAAGCCGCAAAGAAACATATTTCATGCAAATACTGTCTTTTAGAACTTGTTTAAAGTGACACTAAAGTCAGGCATTGTACAAAAGGCCATAAAGAGTCTGTAACAGTAACATTTACAATGTATACACGTAAAGGAAGAGTAGGAACCTTGCTCAAGGAATTTTACAATCTGAAAAAGAAGACAGACCCCAAGTTCTAAAACTGACAAAGGGGCTACAAGACTTGGGGAGGAATATTCCCAAGAAAGAGTTAAGATGACACTAAACTCCGGAGTCAAATCTTAAAAATGCATTCAAGCACCTTAACTATTAACATAAATGTATCTTATTTGTGTATCCCTCGGCTGTAGATCCTCAAATCATCTCTGAATTGGTGCTTACACTGTCCTTCCTTTTGGAGGGCGGCTACTTTTGTTCCCCATGGTCCCTGTGTGTGTTGTAAAGTAGACACCACTCCAAGCTCGCTCCTGTGATGGACTACAATCTCAGGTTTAGTTTACTAATTTGTATTGAGGTTGTAGTACTAGTAACTACTTTCAACACACACAGGGACCATGTGAAAAAAGTAGCCACCCTCCAGAAGGAAGGACAGTGTCAGCATGAATTCAGAGATGATTTGACGCTCTACAGCCGGGTGGTACACAAATAAGATTTATTATTTTTTTTATGAAATATTTTTATACTTTACTGTTGGGTGCTCTGGGGAAGTATCAGGGGTCTAAACAGACCCCTCATATTTCCTATTAAAATAGAAAAAGAGATTGAGGACACGAAGTCCTCAATCTCTTTTTCTGCAGCCCCGTTATGAATGAACAGGAATCCTCTATACTGATTGCTCATGTCCATACATAAACTGTGGACATAGTATGATGTCCACAATCATGAATGAACAGGAGGTGGGAACACAGTAAACATTTTATGTCCTCAATTATTTACAAGCAGTCAGCGATCAGCAGTCAGAGAAATCACGGATGCACCGCAATTTGGGCCGAAAGATGGTACCTTTGGCATTTTGCCCAAAGTGCCATTTTCAGCTGATATGTTTCGGTTGTTGAAATTTCGGTGCATCCCTAATTTTTTGAAGATTTAACTTAGTGTCACTTTAAAATTAAAGAACTCATGGTAAAATAGAAAAAGGAGTAGGATACTAAATTGTAAAGATCATATTTACACCCACTTGTTACAATCCAATAAAAAAACTAAATACAGAAGACAAGAAAGGAGAAACTCTAAATGTAGCATTGCGAGACCATCAGTGATATTGTAAAGAAAATGTACAAAAGGTTTTAATAACACATCATATAAAATTATAAAACAAATAATATTCCATAAAAAACATCTTGGGGGCACATATACAAATTCTATGTATATATCACCAATATCATCAAGTGCCTCAAACAGCATAAAAAAAACTATAAAGTCCTTTAACCCCAGTGCTTTCTGAGTCTTCAGGACTAATATTCAGAGAAATTCATATTTCAATAGATGATATATACATGGAGTTTATCATCTTTAAAGACTCTCCCCTGAAACCGCAGAGATGGAAAACATAGATGAGACAATCCCCAAGCATAAAGGGGGGGCTTCCTCCCCACCCTATGCAAAGGGAAGAGCAACAAAGATTCGAGATCCAATAGCGCCCCATAGATGCAGTCACTAACCCACAGCTGGGAAAATATCATCACTGCCATTTTTCCAGATATAGAAGATACAAAGTAATACAGCTCTGCTTTTATTAGTGTATGTCCACCAGAGCTCAGACTGGGTGTGGGGGAGGCATCACAGAGCCACTTTCTCTGCTCACAGTGCTCATGTGCTAAGAAGGGACATGCTTAGGAACAAGAGAGAGCAGGGTGACAGAGAGATGAGCCCATTGGTTTGCAGGTTCACCTTTCATTGTCAAGTCACAGGCTGGGGAAGGGAAGACACCTGCAAATAATTCTTAACTGCAGCAGATAAAAAAATAGGTCTCCTACATTGCCATACAGGGCTGTGCTGGGTGGCAGAGCTGTGTATATCTCAGAACTGGACAGACATACAATCCCTTGGCTGACAATACAGCCCCATACATGTATTTCATAGTGAATGTAGTTGTTTGCCTAGAGTTCAGCTTTAAGGAATGTGCTTAAAAAGGCATTTGTCTCACTGACATTAAAATACCTCCCTGTCCTTGAAAAGCCAAACTATGGAACACTTTGTGGTCCAAGTTAGCTAACATGGGGCAGTGGAATGGTTAAAGCATCCTTTCCTTTTATTCATAGAAAAATAATGACTACAGCCCAGTAATATACATTTTTTTTACAGGTTGTTGGCAAATTGAAAGTATTTGTAATCCAATTTTAACAAATCACATAGCATTAGAATTGCATAATCATGGCAAACACTGCTTGCATTGGATATGCCGCCTGTATTTTCGTGCTGTGTACTACCACCCTAACATTATCCTTGGCTTCACGTAATAACAAATAAAAAGAGAAACCAAAGAAGAAAATGAACATGCTGACTATACATAAAAAGCAGCCTTCACGCTCTTGACTCCCATTAAGTAGACACAGGTAATTGCACTGAATTCATTGTGATATCTCACCGGTCATAATCCATCACTGCTATTAACAAGCTGATCTGATCAATATTCTCTGGCGGCACGTCAAACACAATGGCTTCATTATACACAGGGTTTAATGTGTTCCTCTTTGTTGATGTTTTCCTTTTCTTCAGTCTCCTCCCTTCACACATTATGGACACCTTCACGTAAGGATCTGTAAGGGAAAGGCATACATATTTTAATACTGTATAACCTGCTATGCAAGGCTGCAAAGGGTTTCTAGAGGTTGCTTGGAGGAGTCACAAGACAGAGATGACTGCATGTTTGTAGACCACAGCTGTCCTTTAAAATGGTAGATTGAAGGATCTCTTCATAGATAGCAATTAATATCATACACATTCAGGAATTCGTTGTTGGCAAAGAGAGTAAAGACCAGGGCCGGATTTACTCTCTCTGCTGCCCCAAGGCCAGGTCCCCAATGCGCCCCCCTACCCTTGACCTTGTCTCAAAGTATCACCCTAACCGTCCCCTCCGCTCATCCATTGACCTCCTGCTTTCCAGCTCTCTTGTCCACTCCTCCCATACTCGCCTCCAGGACTTCTCTAGAGTCTCTCCCATCCTCTGGAACTCCTTACCCCAACCTGTCCGTCTATCTCCCACCTTGACTGCCTTTAGGCGTTCCCTAAAGACTCATCTCTTCAGGGAAGCCTATCCCACCTCAACCTAACCACTGAACCTTCACATTCTCACATAATTCATTCCCACAGCTACCACAGCTACCTCATGTATCATTTCCCCCTCCTCTTTTAGATTGTAAGCCCTCAGGGGCAGGGCCCTCCTTACCATCTTGTCTTGAATTGTATTGTAACTGTAATGTCTTCCTTATATTGTAAAGCGCTGCACAAACAGTTGGCGCTATATAAATACTATGTAATAATAATAATAATAATAATAATACCCGCCAAACCTCCCCCTCATGGTGATTGGCAGACCTGCAGGCTGCATACACGTGATCTCGGCGACATTGCAGAGACCACTTATATAAAACAAGCGGCGGCTTCCCCGCTGTACATTTAGTTCTGCTTGCCCAAAACAGGGCTAAATGTAGAAAACAACTACACGCCCGGCGCCTGGAACTGCATGTCCCGGCATCTGGAGATAGGAATTCCGCACCCCTGCTGCCCCTCTACTCCCTGCTGCCCTGGTGAAGACTTATGATTGAGTGCAGTCATTCATGTGTGCATTGGGAACCCTGATTGCTAAATATTGACCGTAAGTTCACCAAAAACATGTCAAGAAAAAGTGGACATCCTCTGTAGTGGAGCAACCAAGGATACCGCCCTTCCCAAATCTACCAGCATACTAACAGTAATGATTTTTCTGTAGGCTCAAATGACTAATGTCCTTTTACACAGGCTCCTCCCTTTTTATTAGTGACAACGTGATATTATTTGCAGAAACTGAAACCAGAATGAGCCATTGGGTGGAGGGTGATGTTTATACACAGATGCTGTCATTAGACTGCAATTTAAAATTGGAAAGGTTCTTCTTAGACCCGTTATACCTTGCTGGTCTTAGCAGAGACTGACAGGTACCTTAGGAAAAATACAGCTTTGCCAATGTAGCAGGATGGAGACCAGGCCAATAGACCCTTGCTGCACCAGGGGTCACAGAATAGAAGCTACCACACCTTCTATTTGTGTGCTTGGGAACACCAATGACTGCCCATCACAGCATGGTTTTTTAAAAGCCTTCTCACACAGAAAAATGTGTGGAGGTTATTGGCATCACAGGCACAAAATTATGCTACATGTGAGATTATGTTGTCATTGCCCCTGGGCCTAGAAATAACTGGAATGCTCAGAAGCTTAGGTGCAAAGCCATTAAAGGACATATTCACCAAAGGGTCCCTGTGCAAGAACAATATTTGGACCTCCCGATTCAACTACTGTCCATTTACAGATATTTATCTAATGCAGATAGACAGACAAAAGCAAATGCATTTGTGATACCCTGAAATCTCAAGGTCCATAATGTCCAACAGGGTTCAGTCAGTGAACACTCCCTTCACTGCTACCCCAAATGGTTTCAAGAGAAAATGGAAGAAGCATTCTGCATCTTTCATTGTCAGCAGGGAGTGAAGTAGGTACTCACTGCACAACACCAATTGGATGTTATTGAACAGGAGAATGAGGCATCATGATGAATACCACTTGCTCACCTGCTCTAAAAGCGATCAATGTCCAGGACTATGTGGTAGCTGAAAGGGGTCCAAGCACCTGTCTAGCTTACAACTTGCACTAATTGGTCCCTAAATCCAAAAGGGCCCTTGTGCAGTTACACGGTCTGCACAAATAGTATGTCTGCCTTTACATAAAGCCCTCATAACAGTAGTATCCATTAATAATGCAAAATCAGATTCAATTTGAAAGAGGCAGGGCCACAGCTAGTATACTGTAAGTACCTCAACAATGCAAAGACACTAGCCTGAATTCTTGTTTTTACCATGAGTACCAGAGAAGTATTTGACTAGCTTAGAAACCCACTCGAGGGCATAAACCATAAACAACTGTAGAAATGCTGCAAAAGTAACAACTGCCAAATAAAGCTGCGATGACCAATAACTCTAAGAAAGGAAGGGCATGGAACTTGTTTGATGGCTACACTTATTCCAAAGTCAGTGCATGCAGTCCGGTGCATACATTACACTGCACTACACATGGGCCTACCCCCCACAAACCACAGCCCCAACCAGACTTCCATTGAACTAAATTTTAAAGATGCCTGCAAGGAACCCTGCTGAGAGCCAGCTTAACTTCAATATTTCCATGTTGCAGAGTGTGTGCATAAGCTTATAGGTCACACAAGGAAAAAAAAAAGACACTGCACATTGTGATGTTATCAAACCACAACCCTCAAAAGCACAACTAGGCCTGTTGGACCTGCTAAGGCCTGGATCATTGTAAATCATTCATGTCCATTTATTTTACAGAGTCAGTAATAACTGTGGGCTTTACATCTACTGTAAAGCAGCCAATCCCAACCAGGGTTCTGTAAAACTCTAGGGTTCCTTTTGAGGTTGCTAGGGGTTCCTTGAGCAATGGATGATTGACCTCCTATCTGATGATGCTTGCATAATTTCCGGGTTCACCGCTACTTCTCAGATCTTTTTAGCTGTCTGTTAGAACGGTATTGTGACCACTGCTGTAAGGTGGCACTCTTTCAATTGACAACCAATGTAGGGGGCATTCTTCCCCCTGCCCCCCCCCCCCCATTTAATTAATTTTAGCAGGGCTTCCCTGAGACCTGAAATGATTAAATGGGTTCCTCTGGGGTAGAAAGATTGATAAAGCCTGGTGTGGAGTGTGCTCAGATAAGGCTACAGTCTGTAAAGTGGAGCCCCCAGGTTCCAAATACATGCTGTACCCCAAAGGTTTCCCATTGCCCCACACCTTTTAGCACAAATTGTGTAGGCAAAGGGCACAACCGTGCCACACCTCCGGTTATGTGAACCATGATGATTTACTTTCAACTGGTTAAATTTACAAGTTCTTTCTTATTCGCCATTACTACTCCTTCACACCGGCTTTCAAAATAACAAATGGACCAGGTAAAGGGGGCCAGAGAGGTTCGGTTCTGAAAGAGGCAAAAGTGCCTCTAAATAAGGGACAATTGCTAGCCATGCAAATATGAAATAATCCATTATGATTGCTTTTTCCCACTGGTTTTATAGCTCGAATGACACTAAGTCATTAAATGATATTATGTGCAATAAAAGTAAGTGTTCTTCTAAGCTTCCTTCCTTTCCCAATATTCTTGCTCAAACGGCAGTTAAAACCCTTTTAGTATTTTGAAAAAAAATGCCTGTTTTACCTTTATAAGTTGAACTCAAGCAGCCAATAATGTAAAGTGGCAGTTATTGTTCATAAATTACTGGTTGTTTCTATTTCTGGCAAGAATAAGATCAACTACTGGCATTTCATCAAGTTCTACGAAAGTGCAAGTTCACTTTCTGTCTGTAACAGTTCTTTCTATCTGTAACACATTTCCTGCCTGGCCAAC